CCCTGAGAGAAGTCTGAGCAAGGGATAACAAGATTGTCTATTCTACCATTTTTTAAATTTCGATGATATTAACTCATTGTTCTTACAATTTTTTAATTTAATCATATAGAGACTTTATTATATTCATGCGTTGATCCTTTCATTCTTCTTTTTCATCTTCTATTCTTCTTTTCATTTCTGGATTTCCCTCCTTTTTGTGATGTCAAAAGAGGGAGTAGTTGTATTATGTATTGTGTTTGTTTTTTAAAAAAATTTGAACTTCCTGACTTACATAATTGTTTTTGTAATTGAATAGCTTAAATTATTTTTATTTGCCATCATCAAAAAGGGGGAGATTGTTGCAAATCTAATTTTAGGGAATATAATTTTGATGATAATAAACATTTTTATTTTTCTACGACTGCCTTGCCTACTAACATTTCAGGTCCACAAGATTAAATTGCAAATCGAACCAGCTCAAGATTGGGTAGATTAGTACTGAGTCAGCTTGTAATGTATGTGAAGTATCTTTTATCTTTTTTTGAGTCCATTGTAATAATGTGGGTCTTGATGCTAATTAACCTTACACACACACACTTGGGGGAAAATTCTATCTAATTTTAGTGTTCTCTATTTTTAATTACTATGTCCGAGATGATACCAAATAGTCCTAGACGATCAATTAAAAAAAGAAATCCTAATTAGGGCATCCTGGTTAAGGAATTCACAATTAAGCAAATCATCTTCGACGATGTTATCATTATCCAAGACGATAGGATCAAATCAGAAAGAATCAGTCACCAAATCCTGTTAGGCATGTTTTATTTTTGGATATCATCCTAGATAATGCACTACAATTATACCTAAATTAGTTTGGTAATTAAGAAAAGTAATTAAGGTTTGATTGCTCGATCATATCATCCTGGATGATAGCAAGATCATTCGGGACGATCAGTTAACAAACCTTAGTTTTTCTTAGATGATCCCTAATCTGTCTGTCTCCATCCAGGGTGATGTTATGGCCGATATATGATGTTTTGTACTAATCATCCCAAACGATCGTGAGATCGACCTCGACGATCTAGTTAATTTTTTATTGTCCAGACATCTATCCAGGATGATGTTCTAAACGATATGAGACATTTTGAGCTAATTATTCCGGACGATCATGAGATCGTCCAGGACGATTAAGTTACTTTTTCATCATCCATAGTCCAGACATCTATCCAGGGCGATGGTCTGGACGATATTTGTCGACTTGAACTAATCGTACATGATGACATCGTCTTGGCCGATCTAAACAAAGAAACCTTCTAATCGTCTAGACTCTCCCAAATCATCCTGGCTGATTAAGCTAAATCTGAACTGATCGTATGGGACGATCTATCTATTATCATAGATAATATTTGATGATTAGTTACAAATGAAGGCAATTTTGGAGCCCTTGTTTAAAAAGATCTCTTGTTTTCTCAAGATGAAATCTTTTGTTGTTGTCATGAACTGAGAGGGCCAAGAGGAGAGGGAGATCAAGGGAGAGAGAGAGAGAGAGGATCTTGTGAGGGGGAGTTTGTGAGGGGTTTCATAAATGTTTCTCCAAGCAAGGATCTGATTCATCTTCTCTGGTCATTCTCCCTAGTTTCTTAGAGGTTCGAGAGAGGTCTACTTTCCCACCCCCTCCTCTCGGTTAGCCTTGGAACTAGTTCATAAGGGTCTAACATCACTTACAAACTTTTAAGGAGTAACTTAATTCCTTTCACCAACAGTGCAGTGTAGTTGGCAGTGGCCCTTTGACTCCAAGAGGTTCTTATCAAAGTTCCCATCAAGTAAAGCTTTGACTCATGGAGGAAGAAGGTGGATGATGGTTGGAGCAGCCGTGTGAAGACTCTCCCTCCTTCCCTTGATCAACACACTTTTCTCTCCCAAAGCCCAAAGCTCCCCTTTTAAACTCTCTCATAAAAGCCCCTTGATTGCTGAAGACTCTTCAAAATGAAATAAAAGGTATTTATATATAAGGCTCAAATAAAAACTCTAATTTTCAGTTCAATCGTCCTTGTTCGTATAGTAAGATCTAAGTATCATACAATACAATTAGTTCAATTCTCCCTTAAGTATTGTACGATGATTGTTTTCATGTACAATTTGTTCAAAATTATTCAACTGATTAGGGTCATACTGTATGATTTGTTTAATCGAATATTAGTTCATCCTAGATGGACCATAGGCAATTAATTATCATCATGGTTGTCGCTCAGTTCGTATAGTATGAAGTTAAATTCATACGATACGATTACTAATTACAATTAATTTTTGATTTGATTGCTTAATCTTAGGGTTAAATTAGGCATTATTTAATATCGTACGGTATGATTGTTATCGTACATTACGAATAGACAAAATTTCAATTTTCAAAATATTGACTAATTATAAATGGCGGCGGGGATTTCTAAATATAAATGGATCATACTTTACGATTCAAATCGTACAGTACATGATGATTAGTTCAACTTTTTAATTTTTTATTTATTTCAATTAATTTAAGAATCAATATATTGTCCAGTACGATACAGATCGTGCAATTCAATCTTCTGAAAAAAAAAAATTAAAACCTTATGTTTCACTCCCCCAAGTAGGAGAAATTAGATATAGTCTAATAATATTTTTTGTGATCAAAACATAAACTCGAACTCCCGAATTGCAGCATTCCTTACTTTTCTAGCAAAATTTATTCTCTCTGCCATGAATAGTTGTACTCCAGCAATTAGTAAAGTCCTAAAATGTCTTAGGTAAGCACCATCAACCATAAAAAATAATACTACAAAGGGAGGCATTAAGTGATTGGTTAAATATGATGAAAGCCATATCATTTATCAACGTTATAATGGAAGCCTGTCAATCTAATGATCACGAAAAAAATGAAATGCATTACCCATTGCCCAAAGTAAAGCCAATATAGGTAGTCTGATATGGTGAAGCATAATCTCATTTTACACATTCCTATGAAGTATTATGCCAACTCTCTTAATGAATATCTTACCATCTCCTTTTACAATATTTTTTTATAGTTTGATTGCTAAAATTCAAGCCAATTAATTAAAGAGAATTATTCCTTATATTATTCATCAAGCTCAAACTTCCGTTATTAAAGATAAAGACATAGTTGATAAATTACTGTTGTATATAAAATTATACCTAATTTTAAATTTCCCTTCTTGAAAATTTTTATATGAAAAACTTAATCATAAGAAGGATTTTGATAGTTTTAGTAGATTTGTTATCTTTTTTTTTTTTTTACTTCTTTAAAAATATATTTTTCAATAATTGATATCTACATGTATTAACTAGTGACTTTTTTTTATCTTTCTGAAATGATAAGATTAAATCCTACTTGCAATCATCAATTGTTCTGAAATAATGATGTTCATTATCCCCCTTTTGTTCATTATTGAAATGGCTATATATTCTTTTCTCTAGGCAAGGGGCTACTTTCCTCCAAAAATTTTAATTAATGCGGGTAATATTTTGGTAGTGGGACACTCAAGTTTACCCACCATTTCAGCTTTAAATAAGAACATTTCTATATTAGAAAATTATATTGACTTATAAATTAATCATTCTAAATCAGAGGTTTATTTCTCTAATGTGGTTTAAAATTTTAATATAATATATGATATTCATATTCAAAATAGGTAAATTCCTTTTCAATTATTTTTAGAACCCTCTTACGGTTGGTAGAACAAGCTCAAAATTGTCTTCATTTTTTTATAAGCTTAAAAAGTGTCTTGCAAGGAGGGGAGGAGTACAAATATCTTTCATTGGATTGTCAAGTTTCAGCTTCCATGAATAGCTACATCTTCTACAGGTTGATTGACATCTTTATCAAAATTTATTCTTAGAAAATTAATTCTATTACAAGTAGCATTTTATTTAACGATTTTTTCCCAGGATGTAGAGTCTATTGTAGTCTCAAACTACCCTTCCTAGGGACGAGGAAGCACAACTTCTATATCTATTCTTAATTTCATTTTCCTAATGAAGCTAATCTAAAGACTTTTCCATTCTTCTAATCATTTCTTTAGGTGTTGTAAAGGGAATTTATAATTCTCTATAAGGAGATATTTTGCATGCCCTCTCATCTTTGAAGGGGGCAATAAGATGTTACAATTAATAGGAGGAGATGGCTTACTTTCATATTAGAAATGGTCCTAACTTGTCACTACTTTTTTAACTCATGAGTTGCCCTAAGTTCTCTAATTAAAATATAAGGTCCTAATTATTTTGCCAGTCTTAATTAATCAAATAATGTTCATTAGTTCGATCATTATGAAGGATCACTAACATCTCCCTCCCTCACTAGCTTCAATTAATCCTATAAGATATGGCATTATCGATAATATCACTTTTAATACAAATAACGTCTTATGAAACCTTAATACAGATGGATCTAATGAATCTGCTAAAACGACTATACTCCATAATGCAACTAATTTGTATTGATGATATTAACCCGTACAGTTTAAAAGATCCTCACTGAATTACACATTATATAGCATACTTCAGATTTATTTGAGAAGATTTTTTTATTACTTTCTAAAATAATTTTTTTATTTTAAAAAATTTCTAAAAAAATTACTTAAAAATTTATCCTTGAGACAACTTTCTTACTACTTTTAAAAACAATTTTTAATATAAAATTTTTTAGACAATTTATTTTAAGGAACATAAAAAAAATTATTCCAAAAAAAAACCTAAATGATTTTAGGAATGAACCAAATGACTAAAAAATCAGAAAACATCACAAGAATTAACATTTCCACAATCAAATATACTGAATCCCCTTCATATTTTTGTCATGTCCAGTTTAACTTTTTACACGCAACTAACCTTTCCACAGCAAAATCTTCTGAATTCTAACTCCTAGTGTTCTATTAAAAATTAATTCAAAGAGGGAGAAGAAGCCAAACACCAGACCAGAACAAGGCTGTACAAAACGCCACAAATACTGGTCCCTAATGACTGCAGTCTAAAACATTGGAATTTCTTTTTCTTTTCAGTCTAATAAAACATAACTATAAATACCAGTTCTTCAAAAACAAGTCGCATACAATAGACAACGAAGAAATGCACAAGGAAAAAACAAACAATCCCAAGAAGTCACACCCAGCACACAAAAAATTCAAGTATTAAGTTTACAGAGTCCACTCTTAATAAAAACCAAAATAGCCAAGAGAACCTAAATTAAACCAACAGTTTCACAAATTTTTTTTCCTCCAGACTTCTACAGAAAAAATAATCTCAAGGGCCAAAACCATCATTTAAAGACAGAGCAGCTAACTGATCAGACGGCACATTACCTGGCTGCTGTTGCTGAGCAACATTTCTCAGAACTTCCATTGCTTCAGCAACTTTGGCTTTCAGTGCATCAGGTGATTCCAACAAATGAAGTACCTCAGTTTGGTCCATTTCTAGAAGCATTCCTGTGACTTTGGCAGCATGGTCCCGCTCCAGTTGCTCGACAAGTGGATATAGGTTTTCACCCAGCATCTGCAAGAACGGAAAAGGTAAAACAAATGCACAAAAACAGAAAATATATAGAAATAAGTCAATTGGCAACTGAAGCATTGATTTAACATGAGATCATAAATTCAGTAATTGAATGTTTTAGGCAGAAGGTAACATCTAATAGTAGAATCATACCGTTCTCTGCTGTTCAGGACCCGCATTTGCAAGAGCTGAAGCCAATGTACCAATGGGAATAGGCTGCGACAATGTCGAATCTCTGATGGACATGCCACCCATGTCATAGGGGACAGAAAGCATTCCTCCAGGAACACCAGGCATTGGAACATCAGGCATACTACGACCCGAAGGATAGCGATAAAGCCGTCCCCTAGGAAGCATCTGCAGTAAATCCAATGAATGAAAGAGCATTCATTAAAATAAAAAAAAAATTGTGAGTTGACAGCTTCTACTTGATTTCGAGCAAAATGAGCTTAAATAGAGAAATCAAAAATTTTGATGTGTATTTGTCAATTTCGAGTTTGAATCAAACTTAAGCACAAATAAGCCCTACTCCAAATGAAGCAATTTGATTCCAAATTTTAGTTAGATTAAACATCAAACGATTTCAAGTGAATACCAAGTATTGAAAGAATACATAACCGTGAAAAATGAAAAATAAATACATAACCGTGCCTATAATGTTCAACCATCCCATCCCAATTGAATGTATTTCTTTCCTTTTTAAGAGTTTCATAACCCACATGTTAGACTCATAGTAAGGGCATTCCCGCTAAGAATAAATTGCACAAACTAGTGCCTAAATGCCTTTAAAAGGCAGCCGTCCTCCATAATATCAACAGAATGAGGAAAAAAATTTTAGTAGCAGATTATTAGTCTAATTCTTTACTATAGAGCCTTGAACATTTTTACAGGCACCAATGATATTACAAAGCAATGAAAATGTCATAAGAAATACAAATAAACGATCACATTCATCACAACCATCTATGAATTTTAGCAGTATTAGGACGTTATTATGATAAGGAAAAACATGCTGCAGCCCGTAATGATGAGAAACTAAATCTACTAGAGTAATCAGAACAACATATCTTAAATCAGTCAAGTTAAAAAATTCATTACCGTGAAGAATAACTACCCACCTGCTGCTGAAGTAGAGGCATTGGCTGCTGTGATTGTTGCATGGGTCCTGCCCCAGCTCGTCTACCCCCAGGACGCTGGGTTTGTTGACCAGGCTGTACCAAGGGAACAAAAAAGTTTGGAATTGGAGCTCCACCAGGTCTCATCCCAGGAACAAGCTGCTGCTGGTAGCTAAATCCAGGCTGCAAGTATCAGTATTTATCAATTCTCCGATGCTGACCAAAGAAGTTATCTTTTTGACACAAAGCACTAGAAAATACAGCTTCAGATGATTTAAGACCTTAAAAAGTTATATTTACAATATTTTATCACGGTTTCCACTGAAAAAGAAATATAAATGAAATAGAAAAGTAAAACAAAGAAAATATTTAGAATGCAAGAAACTAACAGCCTTGGATAGCTAAGCATAAGCTTCTACTAAATAGACTTCAGCATGTATGATGGACCATCATTTAGCCTGGCCCATCACAACAACTCCATGCCCAAAAAGACAAATGTCCGTCTATTTTCAATCTTCATATTGCAATCAATGTCATAGTGTACACCCTTTTTAAGATTTAAAGATATCAACTCCATTTTGACATTCAGCGTTGCATTACTATTGCACCAGCAGTTTTAATATGAAGAGCAAACTATTATGATAATAACTGATCACTTTGGTATTTGTAAAACATATATTAACCTGTGGTGGAATAAGAGTAGGTGGAGGTTGACCATAAAATAGTTGGTGTCCGATTCCAGGAGCTCCAGTAGGATAAATGGGAACCCGAGGAGTAACATTAGGTGGCACTGGTACTGGCCGCATTTGTGAAAATTGAGCCTGAAAAAAATAACACCACTCATTTTAAGATCTTACTGTAGGAAACCGAGTAAATGTGGATGTCCAGAAAAATAGCATATGGTTAATTAAATTTGCTATGCTAGACTGGTGAAAAAAAAAACCTTAGGCGCTTTAAAAAACAATGTTCTTCTAATTTGGGAAAAATTAGTGAAATGCATGCATGACTGATTAAACAGAGCATGGGAACGTATTGTGAACTTTGGTAAGAACATAAAAAATTATCGTCTGCTACAACACTCTGCTGGTGGTATATATTGTCCTTTAATTAAAACAAACTAATTAGTTAATAATTGATATAGAAATAAATTCTCTAGGGAAGCACAGATAATTTTAGTAATTAAGACAACATCCTCAAAATGATATCAAAAGATGGCGCAAGTTCATACCAAATAGCTTTAGCTCAACTCAATGGTTTCTATGGTATTGTCTCAGGTTCAATACCTGGCAGACATGGCAACAAAATCAAACCTTTATCCCACTACATGGGCTCAACAACATGAATCCTTTTTCTCCAATGTGTCCTATAAAGAGTCAAATTCTCATTAAAATCTAATGAAACAAAAGTCATTTCTAACTTTCTAAGACTTTTTAGGTCTATGATACGTTAAGGGGGGGGGGTTGTACTGACCGGCGCAGACCAGCTAGCCCGATCGATGGAACCAAGGGCAACATTAGGGGAGATTTCGGCCCCCCCATGTGGGGCTCAGGGGAACTATTATTCATTATGTAAGGAGCTGTTTAGGAAGATTTCCTAATTGCGTTTATGCTAATGAATGTTTAATTATTTAAGAAGGTTTCCAAAATGTTTTTATGTTGTTTAGGAATGTTTTAATTATTTAGGAAGATTTCTTAATTGTGTTTATGCTATTTAGGAAGGTTCCAATTGTGCTTACTGTGTGTGAGGGCTATTTAAGGAAGAGCTTTATCTAGGATTATGATCATATATGCGTTAAGTTTATTTCCTAGGGATTGGTGTGAGTTTCCTTGCAGCGGCTAGGGTTTATGGGAAAGATGTTCTACCTCTCAAATAGTATATCAATTGTATATTTCATTATTGTTAAAACAGTAATAAAAAATCAGCCCTCGTACTTGTATTCCTGCAATTTTCTTCTATATATTTTGTTGTTTTTACTTCCAAGACACATTAGTCTACCTCTACCTTTCTTAACAAAGGCAAAATTTAATCCATCTACTCTCCTAACTGGGTCATCAAAAGACTGATGTTTTATATGTACAAACCATCTAACAAACTTTCTCTCTCTAATTTTAACAGTCACTGGAGTTACTCCAACCTTCTCATATATATACTCGTTTTACATTGTCTCTAATTGTGATGCCACTCATCCACTTGAGCATCTTCATCTCTACAACACTTAATTTATACATCTTTTTTAATGGCCAGCATTTGCACCATAAAGCATTGCTGATCTCACCACCATACTATAGAAAATTTCCTTAAGATTAAAGAGTACTTTTTTATCATACAAAAGGCCCAATGCATTTGTTGACCCGTTTCTGAAAAAAAAAATAAAAAAATAAAAAAAAAAAATCAAATCCCATAACTGCTCCTTGCCGAGGCCATGACGCACGTCGCACGTTCGCACGTCACGCAAGACGCACGCCGCACGTTCGCACGACGCGCTCACGTCGTTAAATGGCCGTGAGAATGAGGCCTTTGGACTCATTTTGCTCTCCTCTTTCGCTATCCCGCTTCCTCTCGCGCGCTTCTCCGACCCCTCTGGTGCTGTTCGACTTCGCTCCTTCCCCGACTTTTCATTCCTGTGAAATCAGAAGTTAGGACATTTGATCGAAAGCAATTGCAGGAGCCCCCTCTCGCCGTGAAGGAAACTTTCTCCCTTACCCTCTCCTCTTCGGCCGAATCCTCCAACCCGACCTCCTCCTCTGTTCCCCTGTATTGTGCCCTCTCCTTCCTGATCTTCACGAGCTGAGAGAGAGAGAGAGAGAGGGAACGAAATCCCTACCTCCACCAACGCCTCCCATAGCCGACCGCCCCTATCTTCCGATCCCTTCCAGAGATCAAGCCCGATCTCCCTTACCTGTAGCCGCCTCTCTGCCCGATTCCACTAGAAGCCACAAGCCATTAGACTTTTGGGTATATTTTATTATTATTATTATTATTAGATATAATACTGATGATAATATTAATAATAATAAAAATGGTTATAACCATTATTATTATTATTATTATTATTATTTAAAAAAATCTCTTGCCTTACCTCGGTGTGCGTGTCGGGCTGGCAAACCACATATACACGCTTTTCCTTGCATGGTAGGAGGGAACCAGGCACGACACCTACGTCAAGGTAGGTGAGCAACCCCTCGGCTCCAAGACCCTGTCCTCGGTGTGTGACGAGCCGGCCAACCACCTATACACCTTGCATGGTAGGAGGGAACCAGGCACGACACCTACGTCAAGGTAGGTGAGCAACCCCTCGGCTCCAAGACCCTGTCCTCGGTGTGTGACGAGCCGGCCATCGGCTCCAAGACGCTTTTCTTAGCGTGCTAGGAGGGAATCCAATGAGACGCATACGACGAAGCAGGTAAGCCCAGTGAACGTTTTTCTTAACATGGCTAGGACAACTCTTAAGTACCCGTACGCGGCTCCGTACCTGCGGGAAACCAACTGCTCTATTCTTGTAACAGGTACCAAAGACTCATACATGTTTTCTTAGCGTGGTGAGGACAAAGATTACACGGCTGCGGTGTCCTCGTACGAGGGCACCTACCATACACACTTTTCTTAGCGTGGTGGGAAAGGCCCCGTTTTCCATAGTTTTCCCCTAAACGAGGGAAACGCCGGAAAGTTGCCGAAATTTCGGGTGAATATACGACCGTACTCGAGCCTGATTTGAACTCAAAAGAACAAGAATTTGGACTCAAAAGAACAAGGACTTGTACTCGAACAAAATCTAAATGATTAATCAAAGCTCAAATCCAAATAAAATAAAATCAAACTGAAACCAAATTCATATCAAGAGAACATGAAATTGAATTTGCAAGGACTTCAGAAGACCCTGAACAAACACTTGAGCATGTACTTTGAACTCGAACCGGATAGAATAAAAGGAATCTGTGAGCTTGTGCACTGACTCGGACTGGAGTGAACTCAAACTTGAACTCAATTTGAAAATGAAATAAATTAAATAAGACCACTTGAGTTTGTACTCTGGACTTGAACATTAATGGCTTAAACAATCTGAACTCGAGCGAGTATTTGAGTTGGACCACGAGGAAACTCAAATTACAAGAACATTCGTATGGCCAATAGTGACTCAATGTCGGATGAAATATATTGATCCTTGTAAGTAAATGTGACTAGGGTGCGATGAATACAAACACCAACGAGCTCTTGTAGGAAGGATATTCCAACATCCTTGTTCCCAACATCAAGGCACAAGCAGGCACACTACAAGACCTCGATGCATACAAACAAAAAATGTAGTGGACTCTTATAACAAGTCTCTACAAGATCAGGTGTATCGTACCTGCAAGGTCAACAAATGATTGCAGAATATATGGGTGTCCCCTGTATGCATTATTGAAACCTCTAACACTAGCAACATTCGCATGTTGATTGAAGAAGGCGACACTGGAGATCAATAACGGAGGACCCATCGCCGCAAATAAGTTATGAATGACAAAGGTGGATATAATGCAGATATAATAGACTCCTACGACAATCCCTGCAATTGCTTGTAGATTGAGATGGCAATACTATCAATTGATAGTAGAAGATCCGTCCTTGCAAGCAAGTATGCCAAGACACCTGAAATTGGTGAAAAGGTGGATATGACACATGAATAATGGCTCTCCTATGAACATTTTCAGGAGGTTGTAGTGGATATAACGGGTCCCTATAAATGAACACGAGCTACTTGTGGATAACAACAGTGGGTATATCGTAAGTACAACGAACCCATATGGACACAAGTACAGATATCACCTGCCATAGCGATGATTAAGATGCTGCAAAGTATGTCGGGTACGAGGACAACTCGATGTACGAATAAGTACACCTCATGACAGAATGGAAGAGATGTTTGAGCAAATTCGAACTAAATTTCCTGATGTTCCAAAATTTCTTCTCGGTCCTATACTCAGGAAGAAAACAGTTCCTACATCCACAAACACCAGAAATAACAAGTCTACAACACTGATGATCCTGAAAGGAGTTCTTTTCAAGGCAGTGGCCACGGATTTCAAGAAGGACCTCCCGATGAATGAGAAAAGGGAGTCTGTATCAAAAAAATGAAATATCTCGTAAAATTCATGTGACAACACTACGATTATCCAATACCCAAAAGGAGATTCATTAGTATACAATAAACTACGTGTAGAAATCAACAAGTAGTGCACGATAGTCTACCTATACAAAGCCGCAAATAACTCAATTCAGAAGTTGTTATGCTACGCCACCAGATCCACAACACTCATACAAGTGGACAGAAGGCGTTTTCAAACTCTCAAATAGAATGTTGTACACATTCAAATGGAAATTGCTTGTATAACTGAAATATTACAAAATACCCCCGTATATGCATCGTAGTTTGTATTCAAATGGGTATACAAGGGGTAAGTGCAATCACAAAACTCACATGGGCCCCGACGAGCGTGTTGTGGGAACACACGTGACGGCTGGGGATGCTGCGCGGGTCAATGAATTTGAACTCAATCCTACTAAGTAGGTAAAAAGAAGTCGATAGGGTTTAATTACAAAATGCCCCCAAACACCCACCCCCCAAACACCTGCATAGGTCCCGACGAGCATGTTAGAAGTATACATGTGACGTCTAGGGATGCGCGTGGGTCAATAAGTGAATTCAAGTTTAAATCAGATCTTTTTATGCGGGTCAATAAGAGTCGACAGGGTTCGAATAATCAAACAAATATACAGTTACGACGACCGATATACTTATTTGAATACATTTATATTAGGCCTTTAAGGCCTATAGCAATGA